AATGGAACGCTCATCTGACACGTATAGTTGTCTAGTCATTGGCATAATTGATGGACATAACCGATTGACAATCTACACAACAACACCCGCCTAGACACGCAACTACAGTAGTTGTCAATGGAACGCTCATCTGACACGTATAATTGTCTAGTCATTGGCATAATTGATGTACATAACCGATTGACAATCTACACAACAACACCCGCCTAGACACGCAACTACAGTAGTTGTCAATGGAACGCTCATCTGACACGTATAGTTGTCTAGTCATTGGCATAATTGATGGACATAACCGATTGACAATCTACACAACAACACCCGCCTAGACACGCAACTACAGTAGTTGTCTATGGAACGCTCATCTGACACGTATAGTTGTCTGGTCATTGGCATAATTGATGGACATAACCGATTGACAATCTACACAACAACACCCGCCTAGACACGCAACTACAGTAGTTGTCTATGGAACGCTCATCTGACACGTATAGTTGTCTGGTCATTGGCATAATTGATGGACATAACCGATTGACAATCTACACAACAACACCCGCCTAGACACGCAACTACAGTAGTTGTCAATGGAACGCTCATCTGACACGTATAATTGTCTAGTCATTGGCATAATTGATGGACATAACCGATTGACAATCTACACAACAACACCCGCCTAGACACGCAACTACAGTAGTTGTCAATGGAACGCTCATCTGACACGTATAGTTGTCTAGTCATTGGCATAATTGATGGACATAACCGATTGACAATCTACACAACAACACCCGCCTAGACACGCAACTACAGTAGTTGTCAATGGAACGCTCATCTGACACGTATAGTTGTCTAGTCATTGGCATAATTGATGTACACAACCGATTGACAATCTACACAACAACACCCGCCTAGACACGCAACTACAGTAGTTGTCTATGGAACGCTCATCTGACACGTATAGTTGTCTGGTCATTGGCATAATTGATGGACATAACCGATTGACAATCTACACAACAACACCCGCCTAGACACGCAACTACAGTAGTTGTCTATGGAACGCTCATCTGACACGTATAGTTGTCTGGTCATTGGCATAATTGATGGACATAACCGATTGACAATCTACACAACAACACCCGCCTAGACACGCAACTACAGTAGTTGTCTATGGAACGCTCATCTGACACGTATAGTTGTCTGGTCATTGGCATAATTGATGGACATAACCGATTGACAATCTACACAACAACACCCGCCTAGACACGCAACTACAGTAGTTGTAAATGTAACGCTCATCTGACACGTATAGTTGTCTAGTCATTGGCATAATTGATGGACATAACCGATTGACAATCTACACAACAACACCCGCCTAGACACGCAACTACAGTAGTTGTAAATGTAACGCTCATCTGACACGTATAATTGTCTGGTCATTGGCATAATTGATGTACATAACCGATTGACAATCTACACAACAACACCCGCCTAGACACGCAACTACAGTAGTTGTCAATGGAACGCTCATCTGACACGTATAATTGTCTAGTCATTGGCATAATTGATGTACATAACCGATTGACAATCTACACAACAACACCCGCCTAGACACGCAACTACAGTAGTTGTAAATGTAACGCTCATCTGACACGTATAATTGTCTAGTCATTGGCATAATTGATGGACATAACCGATTGACAATCTACACAACAACACCCGCCTAGACACGCAACTACAGTAGTTGTCTATGGAACGCTCATCTGACACGTATAGTTGTCTGGTCATTGGCATAATTGATGTACATAACCGATTGACAATTTGACAAATTGAAAAGTACTTTATTTAATCGTTCATCTGACATGTTTTATCAATAATAACTTTATACGACTAAATCTGAGCAACCAACAACGTTTAAATCTTCATCTACTTGCGACAGATGATTGATCCAAAACCTCCAATCATCAACACAATGGAGCTACTCACACTTAACATAAAACACATCATCTCATTCCATGCACCGAAACAGCAGGCAATCATCAACAAACGACCGGTAAAAGCAGAACTAGATGGAGGTAGCATGCCGATGGGACGAGGACTGTTTGAATAATGCCAACCTGAGGAGGAGGTGTGCTAATGATACATCATCTTGAAACCGGTCCCTGAGGTCGTGATAAAGACCTAGAGGTCTGGGAGGCTGTGGAACGTGAGGGAGTAGAGCTGCAGAAACATTGGTACGGAGTGTATAACTGTACGGGCTGGGTATAACTGGATAACTTTCCTCACGTAAGCGTATATTAATGCCGAAAACTTACCAAACTACTGTACATCTTTAGCCAAGCAGAGAGAGAGTAGTGTCTAGGATGAAAATCCATTGGCCAAGTGAGGTAGTCTTCTAACCTAAATTACCAATGGCTTGGATAGGGAGAGTAGGCAAAAGTTGTAAAATTAGTCCCTATCTACTAATGAAACTCCAATTTTTTGAGCTTCAAAGAAATTCAATCTATGAAGCTGCCGAAAAAATCCTGCTCTGAGTACGAATGAATATTTGAGGCCCTCCATGTATATTTTAGTTGTTTTAGGAGAAGGTCAAAACTGCACGTAGAGAAACAGAAAGTATGCGTTTATGTCAAAAAAATATAAGCATCCTAGAAACTTCACGTATCTGCGAAATTTATTTTTTAGTTGTCATAATGCACACCGTACCCTAAAACATCTACTAAACATATAAATTTCACATTTATTTCTAGAAGTAAAAGCATGATCATCCATATACTGTATACCTTTAAATTCGTTTATTGTTCACTCTATTCTGAAAACATTCATTAGACTGTATGAATGTTAGATACTGTACTACCATTTACTGAACACCTACGCAGTCAATATGATCATGTTTTACTCGGTATTACGTCATATACTTGTATACTTTACTAAGACTAAGGAAGGCTGGCATCAAGATCAATACATTTCTGCAATGGCGTATGAGTTGCGAACCAATATTATCAGTATAACATCCAGCTATGATGTCTCATTTCAGGCTGACTCGCGTGTTTAGGATTTCATGATTCAATTTCATCTGGTCGCAGAATTGTTAAAACTGACTAACTGGTAACATTCTTTTAAATTGACATTCTTCTAAATGGTAATCGTGCTTGAAAACTAACCAGTCATACAACAAAGCATATATCGAGTTAACAAATAAAATATTTTTCTGGTTGCCTATTATACAAATTTGATTAATAATTAAGAAGTAACAACTGTGATGATAAAAATAAATCGACAACGGCAAGTTTAGTTTGTAGAAAAAACCACTGTACTTGAAGAATATAGCAGAAGTTTACGTATTCTTTGAGAACTAACGTATCAGCACATCTACAAGACGTAATAATACGAATTTTTATTGAAAAATATTGTCTGATAACAATTACTGATCATACGTTTCAACTCTACTACTTTGATGGGTAGAATATTACAGTATTTCAGCCTGCTTTACCCTCCACTACTCGATCAAAGTCTGCTTATGAAAATTTGTACATTAAACAGAGACTCAAACAAGCCTGAAAATGCTCAATACATAACTACCTGTCTAGGCACGTCGCTAATCTTTCCCATCCTTCCTTTTCGCGCTTTCTCCCATAACCGAACGAAAGTACTATTTGTTAACCAGCGTTGTTTCCTTGTATATGTCGAGGTTGTAATAATTGTCGCGATTTTTCAACAGCGCATCCTCACTCTGGAGATTAATTTTCTCCTTGGTCACCTTAACAAGGAGAAACTTAAGTGTAAGTGTGTCTGTGATAAAAACAAACGTCAAATACAGTACTGTATAACAATTCGAGTGTGGAATCAAAAGTTTTGGTAACTTTCCGATTTTTGTGTCATCCTAAATAATGTAGGCTACATTAATAAGTATTGTTATTTTTTATGTACGGCTTTTAATGAAAGGGGTATTCAAATAGAGAGGAATTTGTTTTATAATCAAAGACACCAATCAGTTTTCTTTTTCTGGGCGCTAACCGTCGGGATATGTCTTGAACCACCGGATTTCAGCAGACTATGACTAAAAGCCATTTTGATCTCTGACCTCTAGAACCAAAGTCAAATAGATCCATGGGATAATTATAACCTACTATCTAGACCAACCGAAGCACATGAAAAGAGCCCAAAATTTTAATCCCCAAAAAGGTTCACTAATCTTAAGCATGGAAAGAGCCCGGGTACCTGAGGATGAGGACGCTGACTCGTGTTCTGAAATAGTGTTGTGTTTGGTTGGGTTAGGTTAAGTTATGTTAGGTTAGGTTATGTTAGGTTAGGTTAGGTTAGGTTATGTTAGGTTAGGTTAGGTTATGTTATGTTAGGTTAGATTAGGTAAACAGACTATATCTTTTAGTAATGTAAATATCTTTTAACAATCTATTTTTTAATAATGTATCTTTTAACAGGGTATTTTTTAATATTGTAAATAAATTCATGTATATCAACTGTGTTGGTTCTTTCTCCTTTGAAGACCCGCTGTGAAAGTTCTTGGAAGAGCCCGGGCTCTTTTCGCACCGTCCTGGGAGGGACCTTGGAGGTCCGGGCGCTTTTCAAGCGTCTGCCGCGCATTTATCAGCTCAAGAAATCAACACTTAAAAATGAAAACTATGCAGCCTAAACCTATGATGACTACATGATAAAGACGTACACCATGTTCATCTGATAACGGAGAGACAAAATGTTTACAATCTCATTAGTTTGAACATCGCAGTGTCGCGCGAGTGTTTTCTGTTGTCGTGAAAAGCGTGACAAATGTACGCCAATCTCAACTGGATCATCAGGCCTTGTTTTACTGATACGACCAAATGAATACTGATGTAGTTTTAACCCGCGTTGCTAACATTGCCATTGACGAGTCCGCTTAACTAGCTTTGAATTAAACTGCTGGTAATCTATCTGCTGGTCAGTGCTGGTAATTAAACTGATTCAGCATGGCTTAATTACAATATCTCACTCTACTGTGCACAATTTACCTTAAAAACTGCGAACTCCAATGAGAAACCAGAGTGTAATCCAGCTGAAACAAAATATCAACATTAAAACTCCACAATACGTGTATCCTTTTGGGGTAAGTAAGATTAGCTAACGAAAATGTATTTAAAATGTGTACATAATTTTAGAATTCAGCAGTAAATAAATATTGAATAAACTTATCTTGAGTTGATCCACTTCATCTAATTCGTAGGATGGCCCAAATTTTGGCCAACCCAATATAATAATTTGTATTCATTCGAAATTGTACTTATCTTCTTCATTTACTTTGTCATAGGTAATTGTTGTAAGAAAACAGTCAAAATATCTGTTACTATCTAAATTTGCCCTTTCGTTGGATGATATAATTAATTAATAGCCCAATGACAGATGCCAACCTAGAATCGATGTCTCTTGGAATGGAACCTGCGACATGATTTGAAAGTGAACACTATCAACCGTTCGACTACTCAGACAATCACTTGACTAGTCAAGAAAAAAGGAGTGTTCACCACTGTATTGTGAATATGCTGCTCATCGCACCTGATTCTCACAGCTTGCCTCAAAACATCAAGGTAAACAACAATAAACTAATATTACATTTTCTTCTCGATAAAACTTTCACGGAACACCAATCAGTCGCGAACATATTTCTAATCAAACTGTAGGTTCGCCACAGCGTGTACAAATAAAAAAATTCAGGATATTTATCCAAGCTTGATTCGAAATTGAAAGACTAATTTTTGCAAGTGAGTTATCCTGAACGGACGGTCGTATGGTGTAATGTGCAGTGGACCACCCATAGGTCAAGCCAGCTCGGCTTGTAGTTTCCACAGGCCGTGCCAGCGACAGCCCATCGTCACCCGCGGCACGTCCACCGTGGAGGAATAAATCAGTCTGGAGTCAAGACTCTACCGGGAATGTGATTACTGGATTGCATGCAAATAGCGGGACTCCGCCACCGTGGGGACGATAAAATGTCCCCAGGAACGATAGAAAACTGTTTGGCAAAACAAAATACAGAGTTGACGCTCTGACATTTGGACAAGATTGACAAATCTTGAATCGCTGGTAATTAATTAGAGGTTTCGCTTGAACTTAATTTGTAGGATTAAGGTTACAAGATTACATGTTGGGTGGAGCTGATAAAACAGCATGACGATCTTTTGTGAATAGGGTGTTTCATAATCTTTCATAATTACGGTAATTTAATTTCTTAAATGTTAGTATGCTAAAAAGATAATGTATCAGACAACATGGTTTTAAATTCAATTAAAATTCATTTTTATAGCCCCAGGATTGCGAAATATGACAAATAATGGTTAAAACATACCTCGTCAGACAATCCTTAACATGTAGGTAGTGAAGTTGCTACATATGTTTCGGCGGCTATTTAAGCATCTCCGCCATCGTCAGGCAAACAAAAGGATCCACTTGATGTGTCGTCAGAATAAATAAATTACACATTTTACACAAAACATAAAAAACTATAGTGATAGGCCTATCAACTACACGCACTGCCGTGGACATGGCTGAGTCTGCTTCCTGCCATGTCCACGGCAGTGCGTGTAGTTGATAGGCCTATCACTATAGTTTTTTATGTTTTGTGTAAAATGTGTAATTTATTTATTCTGACGACACATCAAGTGGATCCTTTTGTTTGCCTGACGATGGCGGAGATGCTTAAATAGCCGCCGAAACATATGTAGCAACTTCACTACCTACATGTTAAGGATTGTCTGACGAGGTATGTTTTAACCATTATTTGTTTAAATTCAATTTGATATGCAATTGTGAATTGCTGTAAATTATCAATTTACAGTGCTGCTACAGGATGGACAGTTTATATTTAGAGTTAATTTGTAAATTGTGTATATTTTAAAGGGTTTTGTAATCCTTAATATTTAAACAAACAGCATTCACTCTAAAAAATCTTCTGAAGTTAGGGTATAAAAAGCAGCCATCGCATACTAAAGCACAGAGTGAGAATCTTTATAGATTTTATGACAAGTTGTCTTTCAACGACAAATTTACCCGAATATATACTTGGTGTAATAAACAACGCGTAGCAAAGTTCCAAAGAATGATTCATTGCGGTCCGTGATAACGCCAAGTCATAAATAAACTCCAACGACGGACAAAAAGTTGGCCGAGACTTCCACCTCCACCCCTAGACGAGCAGCACGCAACCACCAGCCGGCTATAGTCTGTTCTATCTGAGGAGGTGTGTGACGTCAGCCTCCTATAGCACAGAAAACTATAGTCTGCTCCAACTGAGGAGGTTTATGACGTCAGCCGCCTATTGTCTTTGCAATTTTAGGTGCGTGACGTCAGCCTCCTATAGCACAAAGTCTGTGCCTATAGCACAGAAAACTATAGTCTGCTCCAACTGAAGAGGTTTAGGACGTCAGCCGCCTATTGTCTTTGCAATTTTAGGTGCGTGACGTCAGCCTCCTATAGCACAAAGTCTGTGCCTATAGCACAGAAAACTATAGTCTGCTCCAACTGAAGAGGTTTAGGACGTCAGCCGCCTATTGTCTTTGCAATTTTAGGTGCGTGACGTCAGCCTCCTATAGCACAAAGTCTGTGCCTATAGCACAGAAAACTATAGTCTGCTCCAACTGAGGAGGTTTAGGACGTCAGCCGCCTATTGTCTTTGCAATTTTAGGTGCGTGACGTCAGCCTCCTATAGCACAAAGTCTGTGCCTATAGCACAGAAAACTATAGTCTGCTCCAACTGAGGAGGTTTAGGACGTCAGCCGCCTATTGTCTGTGCAATTTTAGGTGCGTGACGTCATCCTCCTATAGCACATAGTCTGTGCCTATAGCACAGAAAACTATAGTCTGCTCCAACTGAGGAGGTTTAGGACGTCAGCCACCTATTGTCTGTGCAATTTGAGGAGTGTGACGTCAATCGCATATAGATTGTGCAATCTGATATGGTGTATGGATTTTGACATCAGTCGCCTATAGTGTGATCTAAGGTGGCGTGTGGACCAAACGTCAGAGATAGGACGAAATAGATAGGACTAACTAAACAGTACTTCGCAGAAACAAGTAAAATATTCGTACACACTCTCAAATTGCCGCGCGGCTTATTGCATCAGGTAATAATAGTTTCTGCAGCTGTAGGATAATAACAGCCATAAATGCAACAGCTGCATGGCTACTATTGTTGCACCGACTACCAGTAATGGAACTGGAATAGTAAATATTTATGCTTTCCTCCGTCTCATAGGAAGTTAAAGAGGTCCTAAACGTATATGAGATTCCATATATTTTTATGGAATTTTTTTAAGATTATGATTCATATTATATAGTGATGTTGACTTAGCCCAAGTTAGCCTTTACCCAGAAATATCATACTAGACATACGGTACTTCTAAATATCTCTATCAATCAGATCTAACTGTCGCAACTAAGCTTTGTGATAATTGTCACAGCAAGATGGGGAAACCAACCAATATGGCTTGATAAAACAATGTTAATACTGTAGTAAATCCGTCTGCAACTAGAACGATAAACACAGATATAAAAACAAGACAACCAAGGCAAGATAATTAAAAAATCAAATAAATACAGTACAGATTGCGGGTGTTGTGGGACTGTATCAAGTGAGACGTGGAGAGGGTTGGAACCACATAAGATGATGTAGAGGGCAGGTCAAAAAGGAATAGTTTTTATGGTACAGCGTAATATCACCTTATACAATTTGGCACTGGGAGAGAGTGAGTGAGAATAAAATGGTCAGTTCTGTAGGCCTATCAACCGTTGCAGTGGAGTTATTGTACCAAAATCGACGGAAACTAATCGCTTGAATGGTCTGGAGAAAGCAAAGCAATGCATCTCCAACTGCACTCTGCGGTCCACAATGTGCAGTTTAGCCAATCGAGGAGAAGAATCCAAACACAACTCAACTGGACTTTCACTGACAACACGATGTTTTCGTGGAATACATAATCAGCTCTCGGATCAAAATGTGTAAATTGAATATGAAATTCAAAACAGTTAACCATCCACCTAGGTGACTTGGAGGAATAGAAAATGGCATATGGAAGGTTATAACATACTCACCAATGTTAAACTAGGGTCGTCTGGTAACTATTTTGGCTAAGCGTAACCATGATACACACCTTCCGTAGGGGGATGCTTGGCAAGATCGGGGTATTTCCACCAGGGAGTTAATCAGGTGCTATAATCATACATGAAACCCAACTGACTTATTGTATTCCGTAAAACATTGCTGTTTTGGGGAGAGGAATTTTATAAACAACTGTATTGGTTCCCGTTCTATTAAAAGCGGGGCGTATGATGTGTGTCCCCTCAATTATGACCAAGGCACCAAGATCACGGGTAAAATTTTAAAGACCGCTCTTGAGGAACCTGGTCAAACAAAATTGTTTCTGCTTGAACTTTAGACGCAAACGATTGGATTACAAAGCATCTAAGGGTATACGTTTTTCAAACAACATCTAGGTAGGTATGAAATACGTCAGACACAATACACTCTTCAAATTCGGCTATCCACTTTCATAATCTCCGAGGTTATCTTTTCATGACAACCCTACTAGAACATCACTTTCCTTCCTCCCAATTAGGCCCGAGTTGCAACATATCGTCGGACAAAACGAAAGTCAGCGCGTGCGTAGCTTGAGCGTGAAGAGCCCACTTTTCCTCTCGGTACGTAACGATCCCTCCTCACTGTCGTGCTGCCCGTATATCACCATTACCATTACTAGCGCCATTACCGCCGCCACAGCTGATACACGTAATTAATCCACAGTAAACTTTCCGTTACGTACACAACGTGGAGAGTGAAAGAGATTTTCTTGTAAACATATTGAAGAGTTCAAACCCAACAGCTATGCTTACCCTCTTTACATAATTTTTGTTCCACATTTACATCCAATAATTAATCTGCAATTATATACGAACAAAACATAAATTCTTCGAACTTAGGTCCTCTTTATTTGATGGTTGAACTCGAAATCGGCATTAGCCAAAAACCCTAAATGGGGTGATGGGCAATCATAAGACACAACGAAT